TCTCTCTCTCTCTCTCTCTCTCTCTCTCTCTCTCTATATATATATATATATATAACTTTTCATTGTATTTTAGATGAAATTAAAAACATTGTAAACACATAATATTTGTATTCTTTCTCCATATTATAATAAAATCTCTATTCTCTACAAAATATTTTATTCTTCTGCTTTTGTGATCTTTATTTCATACTGTGGCTATAATCTCTTATCTAAAGTCACAACAAACTGATATTAGAGTATTCCAATTTTCATAACAATAGGTATTAGATTGATTCTAATATTTTGTTTGTTTCATAACAAGAATTTTGAAAACCCCTAGCAAGCAAACTCTGTTTTAACTTGTCAAATCAAGTTCGTGGAACTCGCTTCTATCAATATGGAGCTTTATTGAGCTTGCCCACATGCCAAGGAAAGGTAGGATTGACAAGCCCCTCAAGTGGAGATATGTAGAAAAGGGGGTAGGTGAAGCATCCGGACTAGAGCTAGCTGCCACTTCTTATTGGGAAGAGGGGGAGAACAAAGGGCATTACTATTAACACTTGAAGCACTTTTGTGAACGGTCTTTAAATTTCTTGTGAATAAAAATAGGACTAAATTGGGGTTAAACGAATTAATTTGCAGTTCTACATCAACACAACATGGTCAAAGCTAAAATCTTAACCAAGCTAATCCAAATAATTTTTTTTCGAAGAAAAACAAGTTTATGATGTTCGTAGAGGCCTAATAAGGGCTATGAAGATTGTAGCATCATCTTACTCTCCACCATCGTGTTGAAATTCAACTTAACGTGCCTCTCTTTTGAAAGGAGTGCTAACACATGGATCTTGGCTGTGCATGGGTTGAGCGAGTTTACTTAACAAAAGTAACAACACTTATAAATTAATTGGTCAAACATGCATAGCAAGAATGGATGTTGAGTGCTGCCTTCTTGTCCCGGAGACCCTGTGGCCAAAAAGGGGCTTAGTATTGTAAAAGAATTGCAACCTTCTTGGTTTTTTAGAAGCATAAGTTGATTCAAAGAACGGAACCCACTTTCTTTAGTTCTCTTAATTACGAGAAATGCTTCAATAATTTTATAAAAGCGTGTAGTGTAACTATCCACTCAAATCATGATCCTTTAAACCACTAATCATATAATTTATCATACCTCGTATCCCAATGATTCTGCCGATCACTTTGTTTCTCTCCTTTACCCATGTATTCACCCATTTCACTGAAAAAGAACTGTTCAATATTTAAAACTTAAAAACAAAAGTAGGAAAAAAAAAAGAAAATTGAAAATAAAAATTCACTTAGTTATTCAAGCATCTACCACGTGTCCGGTGCAGGTTGTTTCTAATGAAACTCAGGAGTCAAGGTACCTTTTGGGCCCCAAAACCTTATAATAATAAAGTATTGAGAAGACAACCAGAAACGGCCCACATGCAAAAAAAGGCTGTGACATTGGAATTATACGTGTGCCAACCACACACTATTTCACACCAAATGTCCGAAAAGAACCATTGGCCTAACACTAAGTTATTTGGCTTAGAGTAATGCTGCGTAGTTCCACTGAAATTGTAACTTCAGTCTTTGTGGTTTTAAATGATAGGTTAAATGAAATGTGAAATTAAATGATTTATTTAATTTTACCTATAATTTAATGTCACATTAACGCCACATAGATTGGAGTTGTAATCCCGATGAGATTAAATAACATTACTTTTTGGCTTATGTTTGACAACCACATATTTAGTTACATATGTGGCGGTAGATTATGTCTAAGAAACGAGAGTCAATAGTATTTGGAGATAAATTTGAGCCACTTTTGCAATGTTTTGAACCTTGTTCTCAAGATAGTAAAATTGTAAAAGAAATTTAAAAGAACACTACGTAGACCTAGATCGACTAGGGTTTTATTATGGATCAGCCAAGTTTGATCGGTCACATTTTCCTAAACCTTTTAGGCATATCTTAAGGTGAATGAATTTAGCTCAAGTCTATTATTGATCTTATTGTCTAACACCAGCCACCAGAACAAATCTAGGTACATGCCAAAGTGCCAAATTGGCAGGCCCCGATTTTGTAGGTAGAATTTGTAGGTGAAGTAAAGTTACAAGCTTTTGATAAGTTTTAACAGATTATGAGAAAAAAAAAAGTGATGAATGGATGGCTGAAAAAAGTAATGGATTTCATTAAATATGTTATTAAAATTGAAGTTTGACTTGTTGAAAAGTTGATAACAAAATTATATTAAACGAGCACTTAATCGAGAAATTTCTGTAATGGGATTAGCTATTCGACATCAAGAATTGCCAACATTCAAAATAAAGTAATGTCCCGTCGTTCATGAGTTAGGCCACTTTATCATAATTAGGCCGCTTTATCATAATGGTGGCGCTCTAACACACATCAACTACTTTGAGTTTGAACTACGATGCATCTACGCACAAGACACTATAATAAGGGTCCGTTTGATTGCAAGGATGGAAAATGGGTGGAAAGAAAATGTTTTACAGGGAAAAGATTTTCCTAAAAAATGTTTTCCTGGGAATTGTAATTAATTGTGTTTGATTGGTATAATTTAAAATATTTTCTTTTTCCATGGAAAATTAAGACTATCAAACGGAGCCTAAGATTCCTTACCACATTAGAACACATCCTATTGATGACAATTCTTGGCCAAGATTTAATGAATTAAGAGAGGTTTAACCCGAGAATTAATATTCCGAAAATCATCGTCTTTTAATTTTAAATATTCATGATCAAACACAATCATAAGAACGTTAAGAAGTGAAGTAATAAGAACATGAATTTTGCTACTTGTATATAAAAAAATGTACATAAACAATAATTGAAAATGATGTGGAGGAAAAATATTGAATGAAAAAATTGATTATGTTTTAGACCAGCAATTAGTAGAATTTCACGTGATATTATGTAATTCATTATATAAATTTTGATTTACGTACATATAACGATGTCTTAAGAATATAAACCCATTAATTGGTATAGTATAAGTAGAAAAGAGAAAAAATTACATATAATATTGGATTGCATTTCTAACAACTTTCTATATCAAAATTGAAATCGATTACTTAAAAAATATATATTTTTTTAATTCTTCTTCGTCGTCATCAAAATTCTTTAAGCAATTTTCGTACTTGTTCTAGCGTGACAAAGAGCACCACTGTAAATGGACCTTGCCTTGAAATTGTAGGAATAAATCCCTTATAAAGGGACATGGGTCCCTCTGCTCTAATAGTTTTCATTGCACAATCAATGGCCCCACTGTATGGTGGGACCATCCCGGCCTCCACCTTCATGTTCATTACCCTAGTCTTTATCACGTCCACCGGATTTGACGCCACCGCTGCCACGAACCCTGCGGCGAAACTGGCGGTGATATGGGTTCCCAGCCCATCTTTCATCAATCCCTTTTCAAGTATAGATTCTTTGAACTGATCGTATGAAGCCAGCTGCGAAGCTGTGACGAGCATGGCGCGGTTTACTGTGAGAGACGAGCCGCGCCAAAGGCTAGCCACGCCTTCGTTCTTAGCCATTTGGGATATGGCGTCCAACACGCTTTTGTAGTTCCGCCGCTGCGCGAGAGGGAGCCGGCCGTCCGCTTGCATTCGGACCATTGCCACGTCTGCTGGGTTCCCCACGGCGGCGCCAACACCGCCGGCTATGAGACCCGCCGTGATTTTTTTCATTAATGGCATGTTGTTGGAATTGGGGTCTGTCCATTTTTGTTTGAGGATGTCGTAGAGGCCCATCCTGGTGGTGGAGTAGAGTGTCTGGCGGAGGACGGTGGCGGAGACGCCGGAGAACAGAGCGGCAGCACCGTCTTGCTGAATAATTTTCATCCCAACTGACACAAGCCCCACTCGTGGTGGTGGTGGAGGGAGGCTGATATGGCCCATGTGAGGATGGACATGGCCGGCGGTGGTGGGAAAAGCCAAAGCAGGGCGGAGAGTCTGAAAAGCCGTCTGCGGCGGGGCCAGAGCTTCGCCCTGGAGTTGCATTCGGACCTTAATGAGATCAAGAGGATGAGTACTGCATCCTGCAACAATGGAAGCAATTCCTCCTTCAAAAAATCCCTTAAAACCCATGTCGATTTAACAAAAAGTGTATTTGATTGATTCTTCTTTAAAAGAATGAAAAAATGAAATTAGAACAAGAATTAAGAAGACCAATTGGGATTAGAGTTTAGTTCACTGGAGATCAAGAAATGGGAATGAAGGCCAAAAGCTATAGCGGAAAAGTGGGGAGTGTTTGGCCTTTGTGACATATGCAGAGGAAGAAAAAATGTTGTGAATAATAAGAGAAGGGGGATAGGAATTTATAGGGGAACGAAATCTTTATTGACGCTCTCCAACTTTTACGCGGTTATAGGTTAGAAGGAGGAAGGAGGACTGCACTTCATATTTGCCCCAAATGGCAAATTGAATTTGAATTACAGTTCATAATTAATCTATAATAAAATAAAAAAAATATTTGTGACAAGAGGAATTATGATGAACGTTGATAAAATGTGAGATTGAAAAGTTAATAAAAGTTATGAATTCCATAAAATATATATTTAATTAGTTGAAAAGCAGTATTATTCTAATCGATAACTTCGAAAATTACACCTTACTAGTAATATTATAATTTTTAAATAAATCAAGCTGATTGAACTGGTCTTCTTGGGTTGTTAGGTTGTAAAATCCAACTCATTGTAGCTTGTCATAATTGTCGAACAACTTGTGAACCACCTTGAAATGAGGTGGGTTATGTTCATATTTATTTTTTAACGAGTTGGATTACTAATTTTTCAAAATAAGTTTACACTCGATCACTCATTTTACTTTCTACATAATAGTTTATGCTCTTTTACTCATTAATTCTCAGATTTTAACGTTTCCATATATCAAAATTCTCTCTCCGTTGGAACAATAATTTGGAGTTGATGGGCCAAAAATTCCTTGCTTCATGTTAAGTCCAAATTTTCCTTTGTTCCTCACTTTGTTTTTGGTTTATGGAAAATGAGAATTTCACCCAAGACTGAGCCCCAGAATTTAGCAAGTGATTGAGGGAGAACGCGTTGACCAATCAATGATGGAGGGCTAAAGCAAGCATTGATTTGTAAATTTCCAGTCTTAAAAATAGGGAGATCAAGATCAAGACCAAGTGTCAAATGTCTCAATCTATTATATTGGTTCAAACTCAATGGTCACATTAAATTAATAATATGAAACATCTTTTCAAAAAAATTAACTCCCTCTAAGATAAGAAATAATATTTTTCCCATTTTATTTATTTATTTTTATTAAAATTAAGCATCGATTTATGTTACCTTCAAATTGTCTAATATCTTAGTCCTCGTTTAAACGAGAACATGAATGGAAACCGTGAATTGAGAATCAACGTGTTAACTTTTACAATCATGCTGCATTTACATCTTTTTTTACATTATGCCACGTGACGACACATAATTTGACAATTTTAAAGAACAACACTTTTCCGCCTAACATTTTTTGAATTCCAACACAATTTACACCAAGATGTAACTCATGGAATGTACACTTAGCATTATTCTAACTTTTATTAGTAGTGTGAATTATCTAAATTAGCCCATTATGAGTAATTTATAATAATATAGTATATCATTCGTGTTTCTGTTACGACACATCGAAACTAAATGGTTCGATTGAAGAGAAAAACATTTTGTGAGATATTTTATTTTTTTGACTAGTTTTGAGGTTGATGTTGACACGGCTTATAATTAATGGACACCAAACCGGAGTAATAGCATTGGACCAGTGTGTGCCGTATGTAACCATTGACTATTTCAAATTTCTAAACTAATTTCTAGAATTATTAAAGCTTTGTAAAATTCTTTCAGTTCTCCAACAGAAAATGAAGAAAAAGAAAATGTCAACAAAGGTTCGAGTTCCGCGGGAAACTGACGTACTTAGGGCATCTCGAATGGTACCTTATATTTGGTGTAACCATTTTGCCCTTGTTTACACTTCATAAAAACGGTAATATGCCCTCGTTTGGTGCTCATTTTAATGAGTTTTTTGGGACTACATCTCATTTCCCTACTGTGGAAACATGATAACATGCTACAAGAAGTCAGAATTGTGTCAGAACGAATATAATTTTGATATTGCCGTTGGCAGTTGGCACTTAACTGCCTGTTTTCCCTTATATGCTATGGAAATGTACACAAACGCCCTCAACCATTTTCACCCAAGCAACTCATTCTCACCATACACAAATATTGCGCCGCATCAGAAAGTTGCAATCGGAGCATTCCACAGAAAATCACAATTTTGTGCCCGACCAGTTGAACCTCGTTGTTGGGTTTTTTTAATGGTGACCACAAAGCAGTTCCACAACTAGCAAGGATTCCTCTGTCCGTGTGGCCACCGCCTTTCTCCACCTCATCTGCATTGTTGAGTTTGTGAGCAACTTTATGTTGACAACAATGGATTGCTTGCTATGACTTAGGAGCCTAAATTCTGAAATTCGCCACATGCCCCGTGAAACATAGGTCCGGCACTGATTCAAACATGGAGTTAAAAATAACAGTCAAGGTTGTTCTTTATTCTTTCCCAAAGACTAAAAACCTTACAACTTAATATATATTACCTTCTACATGATGTCCAAGCATGCATGTAACATATACATGGATTGAAGAGGAGAGGAGTTGAGATCTATTGACATTTGGGTTCTGCCGGAGTTGAGGTCAACAAATCTATACTTTTTCTCGACGGAAGCAGTAGATCTTTTATGGCTTTTAGATATTGAAAATTTATTTTAGCTTGTTAGATAAATGCAATGTTATAGTAAATAAGGTTCTCATTTTAGCTGTTTAGTTTAGATTAAAAATATTCAAGCAGTAATGAATCATATGCTACAGATTTACTTGTGGGATTGTTAATTCACATCATTCTAATTCTAAAGCTACTAGGGGTCAGTGCACCTACTCTACAATCCATTCAACTTCACCAGAGGAACCCATGGGAACTGTTCTATGGATCATTATGTGTTTCATTAGTGGTAAGCTTCGGCATTTACTTGCTAATAGAATTTTTTGCATCTTATTTTTCCTATTTCTTACACTTAATTATGCCATGCATCTCAAATTTCTACTTAACATGATCATACTTGAATCTCGCATTGAGCATCTTTTTCTTCCTATTGCTCCTCTTTACAACAACAAACTTAGTTGTCTTATTTTGTATTTCTTCTGTTTTTTCTTTAGTATGTTAAAGATTGATTGGAAACCTGGGACACGCCTCACCTCTATAAGTACAAAGCACTCAACATCTACTTACCCTCAAGCTTTCAACAACAAACTAAAGGAATAAAATTAAAAAAACAAAGAGCATTTGCTATATACGGGATCTAAAGCATTGATTTGTTAGTTATACATGTTGTGTTTGTGTTTCACCATTAGTAGTAGTGTTCTAAAAAGTATAAACCGTGGCTAGATGAAGGTGAGTCTGGGCGTAAGAAAAACGTTTTCTTATTTTAATATTATTTTAAAATTTTAAATCAATCTAAATTATTTATGTGGATGGAATTTCTTGCATGAGACACTGTTGTACCGCCTCATACATGTTGGCCTAATACATAATTTATCTATATACTTTAACTACATATCTCCATTATGACACGGGCATTTATGGAATTTATCAAGCTGTGTATATATCTTTTCTTAATTACCACAAAACCCACATATATTTTCACTCTCTCGTCATATTATAATATATGGATTCTTGCTTAATTTGTTTACGGGTCGTAATGTAGGAATGTCAAACTTCTCATCCCTGCCTGACCTGACCTGTATTACCGTAATGGGATGTGGATTCCTTGATTCGAATAGTGAATGGGACGGGGATGGAGAACATGGTTGCCGTTCTAAATATTTTTATTTTATTCTATTTTTCAATTTAAATATATTTAAAAATAAAAATAATTTCAAGAAATAAATAATTAATTAAGCACGATGGTGAAGGAGGATTTTTTTAATCCCCACCCTACTTTCCAGAAATCTCTAGCACGATGGGATACTAATGGCCACCCCATATCCTTATTGCCATTCCTATCCGTTACAAAACTTTGTCCAATTCTTTTGTCTATTGTCTTGTTGTAATTTGAGCAACAATCTTTCTATATATAAAAAGTGCCTATTTAACGGAATTTGTTGATTTAACGGAAAAACTAACGAAATTTGTTGTTTTAACGGATTATGTAACGGAATTTCTTGTTTTAAACAGGCAGCTATACCTTCCTTCAGTGTTTTTGTCATAAATTTGTATTTCGATATTTGATTGAGGCGATTCAAAATGCGTTGGAAAGCTAACTCATCTGGCTACAACTTTGATTCAGACATCATTCTCCAATTCGATCACTTTCTAAAATAGGTCTCAATATGAGACTAAAACATCGGAGCATAATTTTTTAGATATTGAAAATTTATTTTAGCTCGTTAGATAAATGCAATGTTACAGTAAATAAGGTTTTCATTTTAGCTGTTTAGTTTAGATTAAAAATATTCAAGTAGTAATGGATCTTATGCTACAGATTTACTTGTGGGATTGTTAATTCACATCATTCTAATTCTAAAGCTACGAGGGGTCTGTGCACCTACTCTACAATCCATTCAACTTCACCAGAGGAACCCATGAGAATTGTTCTATGGATCATTATGTGTTTCATTTTTAGTAAGCTTCGGCATTTACTTGCTAATAGAATTTTTTGCATCTAATTTTTCCTATTTCTTACACTTAATTATGCCATGCATCTCAAATTTCTACTTAACATGATCATACTTGAATCTCGCATTGAGCATCTTTTTCTTCCTATTACTCTTCTTTACAACAACAACAAACTTAGTCGCCTTATTTTGTATATCTTCTGTTTTTCTTTAGTATGTTAAAGATCGATTGGAAACTTGGGACACGCCTCACCTCTATAAGTACAAAGCACTCAGCATCTACTTACCCTCAAGCTTTCAACAACAAACTAAAGGAATAAAATTAAAAAACAAAGAGCATTTGCTATATACGGGATCTAAAGCATTGATGTGTTAGTTATACATGTTGTGTTTGCGTTT